GGGGGTCGGGGTCGGGGGTGGGGGGTCCCGCCAAAGTTTCCCTCCCTCTCAGTTGGGGTACCCGACCCGACAGCGGATCCCACGACCCACCTTCCAGTGACCCATTGTGAGTGGAGCTTGGCGTGAAACTGGAAACAAAGCGAGACAATAACGTTTTTCTCCACGTGTCACATCTGTGCCTACAGGCATGACACAGTCATCTCAATAAAGACGTGGAAAAGGGAGTTAATAGATCGGGCAGGGTGCCAGAAAACAGACCAGTTGGGGAGTTAAGTACGTTAAATATTTTACTGAATGCACCATTAGCGAACACTACGGATTGGAAGGTGGTTTCATTTGGCGAAGGAGAGTCAGTATAAAGTGGTTAGTGTTTTTAATGTTTTGTTAGTTGAGATCGTTGCTACAATTATTGTTGATATAATATTGCCATCTGCTTAGCAGTTGTTGATCCTGTAGTTTGCCCAATGTTCTCTACTGTCTACAGTTGTTCTGAGTTTTCTTCTTTTCTGAAGGTGTTTTGTAAGGGGGGGGGAGGGGGGTAAATTTTTGCTTTTATTTTTTTTGCTCGATTTTCCAGTTAATGACGGCATTTGACAAAGAATAATACTTTTTTTATTAGGCCTACTGTTTAAGCTGGTGGCTTTAGACGTTATGATGTCATTGATAACAATGTTGTTTTTGCTACTGTTTTTGTTTTGGTGGTGGTGATAGTGGTGGTTGTTGTTGTTGTGATTGTTGTTGTTGTTGTTGTTGTTGTTGTTGTTGTTGTTGTTGTTGTTGTTGCATTCATGTTGTTGATGATATAGACTTCTAGTTCTTGTTGTTTTTGTAACTCTGTTGTTCACCATTTTCTTTCCATTGCTGCTCCAGTCTTTTTGGCAAGTGGTTAGAGAGCGCCTCTGGCAGGTTCAATACGTCACTATCTCAGTTTGATAAAAATAACTGATTGTTTTGGGTTTTATTTGTTTGTTTTTGTATTTGTGTCGGGTTTTTTGTGCTTTTTTTATTTATTTGTTTGTTGTAGGTTTTTTTTAGTGGTGGTGGAGTTACATCCTTGCTTATTTTTGTCTATCGTGTTTTCTGTGGGGGGTTTTCATAATGTATTTCTTTATTCATAAGCTTTCATCTCGGACGATGATATGTGTTTTTAACGGTTTCACCCACTTCCCCTCACAAGATCGGGTCGTGATAACGTGGCATAAAGAATACCCACATACAACAATGATTAACGTTGACCACATGTACATGTTGACCACTGCCCATCGGGGGGTCACAGCTGACGCCAAGGTCACTTTGATCTGCACCTGGGATTCAATTTTCCGAAATTATGGATTAAAACCGTTGTATTAATGGCCTGGTCCTTCAGATGCCCTCACTTATTTATGTCCGTATCTAGCTGTAGTCGGCATTAACTGTTTCGGAGTTTAAAGGGGGGAAATGATTAACGGTATCCCGGGCGCTGTAAACGTTTTGTGTTATTAACCGCTTTTCCCATTAGCGGGGATGAGGCGATGGGCACTTTTTTTGTGTTGTTTTGTGTGTGTGTGTGTGTGTGTGTGTGTGTGTGTGTGTGTGTGTGTGTGTGTGTGTG